CGAGTACTGGCTTGCTTCTCACTTTCCCTCTCTCTCTATCTCTCTGGTAAAATTAAAATAAATGATTAAATAAGATTAAATAAATAGGTCTAAAAAAAAAAAAAAGAATGCAGCTTTTGGAGCCAACCGGTAGTATTGAAGTTAAGGTGCTGGATCCCAGATTGGCAGCTTGAAAAACACACTGGGCTAGTGTGCATGTGTGCCACAATCCTGAGGAGACTGGAGGAGAAGGGATTGCTGTGTGGCCATTCCCCCCCCCGGGGGAGGGGGGTGATTTCTCACTTTTTTTCCTCTCTGGCAAGTACACACATCCTATAGTAGAAGAAAAAAAAGAAAGAAAGAAAAAAGAAAAAGAAAAGGAGAAATGAATTTCTTTTCTTTTCTTTTTTTTTTAGAGAGAGAGAGAGTTTTGCTATAGGGTGTGTGCTCTCACCACAGAGACAGAGAGACAGAAAGAGAGAAATCACCCCCTGGGGGCCTGGCCATGCTGCAATCCCTTCTCCTCCATTCTCTTCTTGGGATTTTGGGCATACACGCACATGCGCCCAGCATGAGTTTGAAGCTCCCAAATGGGAGACTTGCACTGTGGTCAACTACGTGGAAGTCCAGTGACTTAACCATTACACCATCTGCTGGTCCCATACATGCAAACTACAAAAACTGACAAAGTATTAAGTCATAAAACTAGACTCCACTGATTTCAAAGAACAAGTATCACACGAATCTCATTTAATGTATTTAAAATTTCATGTCTGGAAATGAAAAACCCTAAACCCTCAGTGATTTACTCACTGTCACTCCTATGTAGTCACCTTTTGAGATGTATCTCCAAGTCACAAGCACTCCCCTTCTCTTAGAATTGGCCCCACCTCCCCCCAACCTTGATTGTGTAATGGGATTGTCCATTATGCCCTCCCCTCCCCACAGCCACAGCTGATTGGACTAGAGATGAATCCCCAGATGGGCCAATAAGAATCAGTCTCTCTTGCTCTTGTGCTTACCCCCCCCACTCTCACTCCCTCCAAGGAATCTGATTGGATAAACAGGATTGCCCTCTAAGCCCCACCCCTACCATGACCACATTTGGCTGGACTAGAGTGGAACTACAGTTCAAATTGAGCAGATCTGATTTAGTCTCCACCATAGGCCTTTTTATTGACTTGAGGAATGAAAATGGTGTGGTCACTTTTTCTCTGTGAGCCCAAAGGAACAGAGAAAGCTGATCTGCAGAAGAGAGACCACATGGAGGGAGGGAATGACCTCGAGATAGACCAGAAGAAGGGACCTACAAAGAGGAGAAAGAAATGGAGAAAGACCGTCAGAGATAGAGCATGTGAGCAGGCCTGGATTAGACACAGACAGCGAAATCCACTGAATATGAGAGGGGGTAACAGAATTAAAGTCAGACAGAGTGGTGGCCTGCATTCTGATGGCTGACTAGTTCCAGGTCCAGTCCTTCCCGAGGTCAGCTGGCACCCTGTTGCCACCACTTGAAATGGGAAGACTTAACCAGCAGTTAGCGAAATGGCTATCTTGCTGGACTCCCACATAGTCGACCGCGGTTCGCGTCCTAGACCCGGTGGCTTAAAACTCACGCCAGGCGCATGTGTGTGCATGCCCAAGATCCCGAGAGGAGAATGGAGGAGAAGGGATTGCGGCTTGGCCATCCCCCCTGGGGGGTGATTTCTTGCTTTCTGTCTCTATGTCTCTCTCTGTCTGTCTGGCGAGCACACGCGCCCTATAGTGAAAACCTCTCCAAAAAAAAAAAAAAAAGAAATGGGAAGACTTCCCATGTGCAGTCCCACCTCTACTCCTCGGCTCTAGCCAACCCCCCGTCTAAAATCCCTCCCATCTTTGTGCTGCCTCCGATTTTCTTGTTGAAGTCCTCTCAATCCCTCAAGAATGTTCTTGTCAGGACATCTTGGTGACATTTCTAGCATCCGAGCTGCTAGAGCACTGAGCTCTAGAGAGCATTCGCTTGTTAACAGAAGCAGTCTTACTGGCCCCTTTCTTTTCCCACACCTACCCTCCCTGCCTGCCATGCAGGCCGAGGTGGAAACCCCAGGGCTTTTCTGAGATGAACGCTCTGTCCCTCCAGTCCAAGTCTTCCCAGAGAAGAAGAGCAACCAGTGAATCAGCAGTCATTTGATGAGCCAAAAGCATCCTGGGAACTATGCTCTTAGCCTCACAGAAAATCGTGGAAAAAACTTTATTTTTATAGAATGCAAGCACTTGCCGGAGAGAGAGGGAAGGTGAGAAATCACCCCCAGGAGGGATGACCACACTGCAATTCCTTCTCTTCCATTCTCGTCTCTGGACTTTGGGCACTCACACACGTGTGTCCGGTGTGTTTCTCAAGTCTCTGGGTCTTAGACTAGAACCAGACAGTTGGCCATGTGGGACCCAGCTGCCTTGAGCACCGCACCACTGGCTGGTCCTAGAAAGGATTTTAGAAGTGGCCTTGATTCTAGTCTAGACCAGCCTCTTCATTTACAGGTGAGGAAACTGAGGTCTAGGGGAATGTCACACAGCTAGCAAGGAGTATGTCTGGCTTTGGAGTCAAAACACTTAGGAATTTGGTGGCATGAGCTCAGTTCTACTGTGTTTTTCTGTCTGAAAGAGAAGTATCTGACTGCCAGCCCTCCCAACCTCCACCTTGTGGTTTTGCACAAGTTGTTTTTGCTTAGACCCTCTGTTCCTGACAGCCACACCATCAGCAAGCTGATTCCTAGCTAGTATTGAGACTTCAAATTAGATGTCGCCTCCTCTGGGAAGCCTGACACCAGCCGCTCCAAGTCTGGTAGACCACATGTAATATATCTTATGCTATCTCATAAAGACCTATGCCTATTTGCACACATGGCCTGGCATTGAGGAGGTACTTAACAAATGTTTAGTGATTGAAGAAGAGTCAGCTGAGGTCTGCTGGAGTCCATTTCTCCATACTCTCAACAGAGAACAGCAAAGGAGGGGCACGGGTGGGGACCCAGTCAGCCCATCTTCCCCAGCACCCCCTGTCTGTGAATCTGAAGGGAATTGGTGGTTAGGCTGATGCACATGCACTCTGGCTCCTGAGCTGGATGCCGGGTCCGTGCTGCAGAGAGCTACCCTCTGACCCCCTGGCAGGGGCAGTCAAGCCCTCCCCGCTCCCACGAGGTGTCACTGAGAATGGTGGCATAGCAGTGAAGTCTGGAAGTGGGTCAGATTGCAATCACAAGGCCCCTAGGCCTCAGTCTTGCATATGCCGACTTAGTCTGCTTTCATGGGGATGGGGTGCTCGGCCAGATACATCTCTGATTGATTATGAACCCTCCCACCCCAGAGCTGATCCAAGGGTACAAATCCAGCCCAGACAAAAGGTGGCCAAAAGACGCTGCACTGGGCCAGCCAGGGGATCAGGGAAAGGTTTTGTCCTGATTATAAACAATGTTCCCTCCTCCCCCTCCCCCGGCATCTTTCCTGACAGATTCTGGAGCAGTTGGGAGTGGGGCAGTGAGGACATCTTTCCTAACCCCACTGTCCTGACTTGCTGCCGCCAAGATCACCACCCACTGGCCTGTGATTTACTATTTTAAACCAAATATTTTTTCCGAAAACAAATTCTATCCATTTGGACAAGTTGTTTTACTCAAGGGACAGGGGCTGTTACACACAACACAGATCTAGTGTCTGGAAAAGCTGGGCATCTTCAGAAGTGCTTGAAAGAATGAGAAAGAAAAATCCCATCATTTCTGAGTAAGGTCAGCCAGTCCAGCTGGAAAAGGCAACAGGCTGTGGAGGGGAGCTGAAGGACCACTTGGCCAGCTTGCCAGACTCCGAGCCAAGCTCTTGTATAAGCTCCACAGTATTGGGAAAAGGGGAAAAAATCAGGACATGTTTTTAGTCTTGCTCAGGAGTCCCCAGAACATGCTTACAGCTCCAGGAATCTCTACTCTTCCCTACAAATGGAAAATGTGATCCACGAGAACAAACATGACCACAGAATGTGTGTCTAGTCGCCCAGGCCTGTAACAGGGGAGCCAGGCCTCATGCCATCTCATGACTGAGTCCCCTCTGCCCTTCTGAGCAGCTGGCTCACTTCAACAATGAAAAGGCAGGATGGCAGCCTCAGAATCAAAGTGCAGATTATTTTTAATTTTTAAATTTTATTTATTTATTTATTAATTTTTGAGAGATTTTCGCTATAGGGCCCGTGCGCTCGCCAGACAGAGAGAGACATAGAGACAGACAGTGAGAAATCACCCCCCAGGGGGGATGACCACGCTGCAATCCCTTCTCCTCCATTCTCCTCTCAGGATCTCGGGTACATACGCACTCACGCCCAGCATGAGTTTTAAGCCACTGGGTCCGGGACACAAACCGCGGTCGACTACGTGGGAGTCCAGCAACATAGCCATTATGCTAACTGCTGGTTCCCCAGATTATGCATTTACTGACATCTTCTCAGGCTACACTGAGTTTAGCAGGAATAAAAGCAAATGTGAAGGGTGATGTACTAATACAGTTAGCAACCCAGAGAATTGTGGGTACCGGTCCAAAACTCAAACCGCAGTCAGCCATGTGGGAGTCCAGTACCTTAACCACCATGCCACCTGTTGACCTTGATGACCCTATATTTAATAGCTTAACTTTTTTTGGTAGCTTTTTGTTATAGGGCATGCACACTCGCCTGAGAGAGACAGAGAGAGAGAGAGAAAGGGAAAGTGAGAAATGATCTCCTCCCACCCAATACCCCAAGCAGATGGCCACACTGCAATCTCTCCTCCTCCAATTTCTTCTTGGGATTATGGGTGTGCGTGCACACACACCCTCTCTGATTTTCAAGCTGTCAGATCTGGGACTCAAACCACACAGTCAACCATTTGGGATCCAGTGCCTTAACCTCAATGTCACCTGCTGGCCCTCAATAGCTTAACTTTGAATATGCAGTAAGGTTGCAAATTCAGCAAAGAAATGAATACGTTTTTTACATTTCAAGTAAAAATATTGTTTATTTCTTTATTTCACCATCATTTATATGCATGAACTGTGATGGAGGCCTGGCTTGTGTTCTGTGGAGCAAGGCCAAGAAATTGGTTATTTGATCTTCAGCATCAGATTATCATTATTGTAGAGGTGGACAAAACCATGCAAAAGGAAAAGGAAGCACATTTGCATTCATGGCGCTAAATGAAGAACAGTCAAAGCTGCAGAGTTTAACCAGTGGCTGATTTCTTGGGTTTCTTTTAAAGAACAGTATAAAGGGAATGGATTTTGCCATTTAGGCGAGCTATGTGCCAATCAGTATCACGGGACAAAGTAAGTAAAGACATGAGAAAACACACAAGCAAATCGCACCAAACCAGATGTGCTTAAATTAACCGAGTGACAGTTCACGCATCAGTCTCACAATTTCCTGTCACATGAGGTGGAAAGAAAACAGTATGGAGTGTCACAAAACCTAGTTGCTCAAAGGCCGTTGACCAGCTCCAGGAACTCTCAGAGAGGCCATCCCTCCACGCCAGCGCTGGCCACTTCTGCTTGCCCGTTGCTGCCTCCTTGAGGGTACTCTTCCTCGGACAGTGCCAGCAGTGGGAGACCGGGCTGGGGTGCTTTGGAGGTACTGGAAAGCACTCTGGCGGCCCACCTGCCTCTCTGCACAGTTAAAAGTGAGGGCTACTCCCACATTGCTCTTCATGATTCTAGAGGAGCCATCGGAGGTGCCATCAAAGCACCGGCCAAGTGCAATCTCCTTGGCCATTCGAGGGTCCTGGTCAGTGACTGTGTAGATACCATAGTTGTGGCCCAGTGGGTCCAGAGGTGCCAACATGGTGTACTCACTGGTGTCATTGTTGACTGCCAGTGGCAGGTGGTTGACCAGGTATTCATGCAGCATGGAGTTCACGCTGGCTCGATGGCAGCTGCCCTGGGGGATGACCTTCACCAGTGTGCGGTCCACACGGTCTTGGTCATAGAGCATCCCGCTGCACTTGAACTCCAGACAGGCAGAGGAGACATTGGGTTGGTCCCTATCCCGGGTGCTCCTCACATCCCGGATTCCATACAGCTTTCCCACTGTCCGCCGGTGGGTGCCTCCCATGTTGCGGGATCGTACATTCACCTCCAGGGGCCCCACAATCTTTACCTTGATGTAGCAGGCCCTGAACTCCATTGGCTTGGGCCACCATGCCAGGTAGTCTTCAGTCCAGCTCATGGGGTCATCTTCATTGAAGGGGACTGTGTTGTAGTCATACCGATCACCCTCGATCTGGTAGAACCGGAAGTGGGCTGCACTGGGAGGTGCCTCCTCGCATTCCCGGAGGTTTTCAAAGGCATAGATGGGCCCATTGCTCTCCTCAGCTGAGTTGGGCCTTGGCTTGGCTATGCTGATCTGAAACGCTGTCTTTTTAACCCGGGGGTCTTCATGGTCTGTCCTTCTGTACTTAAGTTTGTTGAGGTAGGGCTGAGGGACACCAATAGCATTTGGGTTGAATTTAGGAAAAGACTCAACTGCTTCCAGTTCCTCCCCAGCCAGGCTTGCCAAGACATAGGCAGAGTACGCATCAGGGGACTGGTCGTCACAGAAGGCTGGCAGACAGGCTCCATTGGGGCCCGTGATGACACTATCAAAGCGTCCCCAGGCCCTAGGGTTGGATGAGAAGCCAGTTCTGGGCTCCAGGTTGATGGCGGAGACTACAACACCCTGGATCTGCTCACTGGGCAAGAACCTCTCACTCCGGTAGGTCCTCACCTTGATGAAGCACCTCCTGCTTTCAGGGACATCCAGGTTAAAGAGCCTCCTCTCACGGATCTCCATGTTGCCCACCAGGAAGGTCCTGTCTTCCCTTTTGCTTCTCCTTTGGCTTTCAAATTTGAAATCACCTTCCTCCTCCCACAGCCCTGTGTCTGGGTTGAGTGACCAGAGTTTCATTGTGGGCACGTGCTCTGGCATCTTGACCTGGGTTGAGTCGAGGTGGACCTTCACCTTGCCAGCATTCAGGGGCTCTGAGGTGGCCTCATCTGTGAAGTCCACAGAGAACATGCCATATGTCCGAAGGGGGAAGGTGTCTCCTTCATCATTGATGAAGTTCAGGTCACTCTGGGCAGCTGTGGCTGTGGAAATATTCCGGGGATCCAGGAAGCTCACGCTGGCCTTCACTTTTCCTGTGTAGGGCTCCCCATTCTGCCTATAGAAACTCTTGGATGGAATCTCCAGCTCTGCCATGGGGTCTTCACCAGCCATCTCCCCCAGGGGAATAATGTTGGTCTCCATGGCCTCTAAGATGATGGGCTCTTTGCGCCGAAGCATCTTGATCTCATGGAACACGGCACTCCCTTTCTTGTTGAAAGGCAGCACTTTGGTGGTATTGACAAACTTCTGGAGCCTGTCCACAAAGGTAAGCACCAGCCTCTCGGTGTCCTGGGGGACGTGGAGGGTGAACGTGCCCTTGTAGCCAGTCATGCTCACCCGGCTATTACCCAAATATACATGGCCAAAGCGCATGGGTTCCCCATTGTCGGCGGCACTGACCCGGCCCCGCACGATGCTTCGGGTCTCCGTGCACCGTTGGCAGCTGCACTCAGCAGCCACCTTTGTGGGCAGCGTGTACCCGCTGCACTGGATCTCCCTCTCCTCTGTTCTGGAGATGCCGCAGCAGTACTCCACGGCATCCCGACACCTGATCCCGTTATCCTGCTGCCCTGCACAGGTCTTGACAGGGCAGCGGCCCACGTCATAGTAGAAGGAGTTGGTGGCATTCTGGAAGCAATCGTGGGGAAGCCGGATAAGGTAGCTCTCAGGGACTGGGTTGCAAGGAGTCTCATCAGGTGCTGCGGAGGGAAATGGTATGAATACTAGTTGTGAGTTCACGTCCCACACAAGGACATCAATCTCGCCTCTCTACAGTTCATTATGGCTTCCAAGGGACCCACATATCCATGATCTTGCTTCTCATGGAATTGTCTAGGGGAAGTGAAACAGCTGTTGCTAATCTCTTTCTATACCTGGGGAAACCACTGGCTGCTGAGATGACCAGAGCATTCAAAGGAAGGATCTTGAAAATTTGAAAGGGTATTTTTGGTTATCACCAAAACTGGGAGTGATGCCAGCATACAACAAGCAGGAGGTCATTGATGCCTTGTCCTATAATGCCTGGAATTATTCTGCATAAAGAAGTTTTCTGCATCCCACATGACTTTCACATAGCCCACCAGACATTTACATAGCTGGAAAATCTGTTTAAGATGATCAGCATTTAGTATTTTTACATAGATTTTTAAAAAAGAATTATTTATCTATTTATTTCATTGCATTCATTATAATTATTTTAAAAATTTTGACCAGAGAGAAACAGAGAAAGAAAAAGTGAGAAAGTAAGTCTCCGGGTCCAGGACTTGAACTATGGTCAGCCATGTGAGAGTCCAGGACCTTACCTACCATGCCACCTGCCAGCCCTGGATTGATTTATTTAATTTTTAGTGTTGCTATAGTGTGTGCGTGCCTGCCAGAGAGGGGACAGAAAAAGAGAAAGTGGAAAATCATCCCCAAGAGGGGATGGCTACACTGCAGTCCCTTCTCCTCCACTCTCCTCTTGGGATTTTGGGCATGCTTATGTTTTTCAAGCAGCTGGGTCTGGGATTTGAACTGCAAGGTTGGCCGTGTGGGATCCAGCTGCCTTAACCACCATGCCCCCAGCTGGCCCTATTTTTTCAATAGATTTAACCATACATTGAATTTTTCAATGTTATTACCATAGAAATCGAGCTAAGATTATACTTTGTTTAGTTTGAAACGATACTAAGAATTACTCCTCGTCTCAGAATAATCATATCCCTACAACAACATTACTGGAAGAACTGCCAAAATGATACATCTCTATCTATCAGTATTTGCAGCTGTCATTGCTGTCACAATGGCTCTGGATGTCAGTGCAAGTGTCTGACCTCTTGGTTGGTCTGCTTGTGTTATCATGCCAGAGCATTTAGATATTGAGATACATAATATTTTGTATTAAAATTATTTTTTGAAGTTCTCCATTGTGTTATAGTTAGGATCATGTGCATGTATACTTGGAAATTATATGTAGCTAAGTTACATTGATTATAGATTAATTTACATCTATAAATTTAACTTCAGAATATAAAGCAGTATTAAAAATAACTGACAGGGCTGGCCCACAGTGTGCTGGTTAAAGCAGCTGGATCCCACATGGCCAACTGTGTGACTAGAGTCCTGAGCCAGTGACTTTGAAAATCATGTTGGGCACATGTGCATGCACATCCAAAATTCTAAGAGGAGAATGGAGAAGAAGGAATTGTAGCGTGGCCATCCCCCCAGGGTCTGCTTACTCACTTCCCTCTCTCTCTTCCTGTCTTTTTCCAGCAAATGCATGCACCCTATGGCAAATTAAATAAATAACTGGTAGGCAGGAACCATTGGTATGACAGGTGGGGAACCACTCCTGGGGGGTTCCACATTCCCCTCTGCTGAAGTTCAAAGTGCCTTATGTCTTGTCTATCCTAAGGTCTGTTGCTCAACTTTCTTGGAATCTGTGAAATATTCCAGGATCCTTCCAATAAATGCTCTCGCCCTCTGCCTTTTGTTTTGGTTTGTTTTGTTTTGTTTAGGCCAATTTCTAAGATATCCTCCCTTCTCCTCACTTTTCAGTGACAGGTTCCTGATTGGTCTTTGGCTCCCCCCTCCCCCTAGTTCACTTCTTGAAGCCAGCTCCAATCAGGTCATCCTTTCTGGCAAAGCCCTCTCAGTTCCCCACATCTGTCTTTGCTCATACTGGCCCCTCAAGTTGGAATACCTATTCCTCCACACACACAGCCCCTGTCCATTCTTTAAGACTTGGGGTTCACGGTCTTAGCTGAAAATTACCAGGGAGCCTTTAAATCACGTATACCAAGGCCATATCCCAGACCAATCAAATTGGATCTTCTGTTGGTAAGACTGAAGCATCACCAGTACTAAAAACTTAACAGGTGGGGGCCAGCAGGTGGCATGGTGGTTAAGGCTCTGGACTTACACACGGTTGACCACGATTCAGGCCCCAAACCCAGGAGCTTGAAAATCATGCCAGGCTCATGTGTGTACATTCCCAAAATCCCTAGAGGAGAATGGAGGAGAAGGAATTGTGGTGTGGCCATCACCCAAGGGGGTGATTTCTCACTTTCCCACTCTCCTGCTCTCTCTCTGTCTCTCTCCGGAGAGCATATGTACCCTATGGCAAAACCTAAAAATAAAACAAAACTTAACGAGTAGTGCCAGTGTACAACCAAGGCCAAGAACCACTGTTTAGGCCCAGCTGGAACGCTTCTCCCCAAAGCAGCCATCCATGGTCACTGCCACCTAGAAGGTATCTGTCTCATCTACCAGAGTCCATGCCCCTACCTCCTGCATCAGCTGTATTTATCTGTTTGTGCTTACATGTCTCTTATATTTCTTTACCTGTCTTCAAGTGGTGGCTCTGTGATGTTGAGATTTGGGTCTGTGCTGTCCTTATGTCCCAGAGGAGATGGCAGCGGGCACAGCAGAGCAAACCCTGTGATGTCACTGCCTGGCAATGCTCACTGGGAAGCGTAGTGGACCCTACTACAGACCCAATACCCCCAGGGACCCAGAGAGGCTTACCTATGACAGTCAGCTGGGCGACCTGGGACTTCACAGCCCCAGCGTCACTCTGGGCCTTGCAAAAGTACTCCCCAGCCTGGTCCTGCTGCAGGTTCCTCAGCACCAGCTTGCTCTCGTGCTTGTAGAGAGAGGGATCCAGCAGTGTGTTGTTGTGGTACCTGCGGGAGCCTTTAAATCACGTATACCAAGGCCATATCCCAGACCAATCAAATTGGATCTTCTGTTGGTAAGACTGAAGCATCACCAGTACTAAAAACTTAACAGGTGGGGGCCAGCAGGTGGCATGGTGGTTAAGGCTCTGGACTTACACACGGTTGACCACGATTCAGGCCCCAAACCCAGGAGCTTGAAAATCATGCCAGGCTCATGTGTGTACATTCCCAAAATCCCTAGAGGAGAATGGAGGAGAAGGAATTGTGGTGTGGCCATCACCCAAGGGGGTGATTTCTCACTTTCCCACTCTCCTGCTCTCTCTCTGTCTCTCTCCGGAGAGCATATGTACCCTATGGCAAAACCTAAAAATAAAACAAAACTTAACGAGTAGTGCCAGTGTACAACCAAGGCCAAGAACCACTGTTTAGGCCCAGCTGGAACGCTTCTCCCCAAAGCAGCCATCCATGGTCACTGCCACCTAGAAGGTATCTGTCTCATCTACCAGAGTCCATGCCCCTACCTCCTGCATCAGCTGTATTTATCTGTTTGTGCTTACATGTCTCTTATATTTCTTTACCTGTCTTCAAGTGGTGGCTCTGTGATGTTGAGATTTGGGTCTGTGCTGTCCTTATGTCCCAGAGGAGATGGCAGCGGGCACAGCAGAGCAAACCCTGTGATGTCACTGCCTGGCAATGCTCACTGGGAAGCGTAGTGGACCCTACTACAGACCCAATACCCCCAGGGACCCAGAGAGGCTTACCTATGACAGTCAGCTGGGCGACCTGGGACTTCACAGCCCCAGCGTCACTCTGGGCCTTGCAAAAGTACTCCCCAGCCTGGTCCTGCTGCAGGTTCCTCAGCACCAGCTTGCTCTCGTGCTTGTAGAGAGAGGGATCCAGCAGTGTGTTGTTGTGGTACCTGCAGGGATGAAGAGCTGAAGGCTGAGCGGGCAGGGAGGATGGCTATCCCTGGGGACAGTGCCAGAGCAAGCAACCAGTGAGACAGATGGAGGATGGGTCCCTGAAGATACCAGCATCATCTCTGACTTGGATCACCCAAGAGCATTGATTGACCTCAGTGTCAAGAGACTTGTTTCTAAGTCCCAGCCCCTTCACATAATGGCTCCTTGGACAAATCCCTCAGCTCTCTGAGCTTCAGCTTCCTGGTCTACCAGCTAGGTGCAGTGGTCTCAATCCTGTGACCTCACAGGATTGTTGAGAAGCCAAACAAGCAGCTATAAAATATTTGTGAAGGGTAAAGGCTTCACAGTCATGCTGGGTTCTGACTTTGTTTGCTTTTGTCAGGAAAAACAAGGCCAAGGAATTTGGTCCTGTGTCCAAGGATATGTAAGTTAGGGCCCTGAGACTAGAGATGGCTGGTGGGGACCCAGCTTTGAGGTTACCGCAGGAGGGTTGCTGGACATCTGGGCAGTCTCAGCCTCGCTAGCTCCCAGAGTGCCAGCATCCGGGCTCTGTACCAGACCTCACTTGTCACTTTATTCTGCTGGTTACCGTTCTTATTAATAAGTCCAGACCCAACACAAGAAAGCTCTGGTCTCCGAGAGAAGAACTGCTGGTGCTGCTGGTGGAATACGCACCAGAAATACTTATCTGGACTGGGCTTCCCTGTGGCCTTACAGCACAGGGAGACGCTCTGCCCGGCTCGCCGCGCTTTTGTCTCAGGGTTCCTCACCATGTACGGGGTCTCTGGGACAGAGGATGAGAAACAGCAGTTTGGTTTATGCTTTATGGCAGACTCTAAAGAGCTTTGATACCCACTCCCCCTCCCCAGGGTCTTTGGTGTTGAAACTGTCCACCCCTGTCCATCTCCTATGTTCCTAATGGAAGCAGTCCAGAGTAGAGTCCACCCCTCCATACTCTCAGCCTGGGACCTGCTCCCCTGGCCTCTCAAGCAGCATCTGGGTGAGACAATGGAGAACTAAGGAAACATTGTACCAGCCAAATTAGATGGCCCTGCCACTGGGGTTCTAGTGGTGCAATATCTATGTGCTACTTTCTCAGCAGAAGTGTCTGACCACCTGCACCATTTCTGAACTCCCCAAGCCTCTCCATGACCTCCAAACCTCACACTGTATTACAATCGACTGTTTAGATAAGGCGACTGAGGAAGGCCTCAGACATTCGAGGGAGCAAGCCCTGCCAACAGCTGGGGAAGAACACGCTAAGCAGAGTACGTGTGGCAAGTGTAAAGGCCCTGGGGCAGGAGTGTCTCTATGTTTGAGGGACAGATAGGAGCCACTGTGACTGCAGTAGAGTGACTCAGCATGGGGGGAGTAACCCAGAGGTGAGAAGAGATGTAACAGGGAGCCAGGGGCTGCAGGGCCTTCTGGGCCTGCTAAGGGTCTGGGTTTTACTCTCAGCAAGCTGAGAGGCCAGCTCTTAGCATAGTAACCCTTTGTTTAAACATCTGGGGCTGCTCATTGGCCCTACCCCCAAGGCCTTGATTACCTGCCCTCATGAACTCCGCATTGATGGTGGCTGCCTTGAGGCTGGTCTTGGGCATTGTGAGCACAATGGGGGCAAACTTAGTCTTTGTGATCTTCAGGGTGCTCTTGCCATCAGGGCACAAGCCAGGGATGTGGAACCTCCCACTGCTGTCTGTCTGGGTCAGCAGCTTCAGCGTCTTGGTCAGCAGGTAGACACTGGCCCCTGAGGCTGGGTCTCCACTGGGGAGGGAGACTGCCCCATGAAGCATGAAGTCCTGGCACATGCAGGCATCGCAGTCAGCATTCGCATGGCCCATGGAGCAGGTCAGGTCACAGGCTGTGGGACAGGGGCCACATCAACAGGGCTTATATGGATTCTGGCTCTCCTTCAGCCTTGCACACCCCAAGACCTGTAGACTCACATAGGCTTCTCCTCATCTTGAGGCCTTGATTACCCTTCCTTAGCCTGCACGACTAACTCCTACTCATCGTTCAAGACAGCCCAGGACACCTCCTCCAGGATGCGTCCCAGGATTACCGTAAGCTATGATGATTGACCTTGCTCTGTGTTTCTACATCATCCTGTATATCTCCATCAGACCATGTAATAGATGCTCAGTTCATATTTGGTGAGTGAATGAAGAGCTCTGTTCCAGACTGACCCCTCCAACCCGTCTTTCCAGACTGCTTCAGCCTCACCCACCGCATCCCGCCCAGTGCCAGTAGGGAGGGTGATACCTGTACAGGCCTGGCCCACGCAAAGTTGGCCTTCCTCGGTGGCCTCACTGCACAATGACACCGTCTCCGCCAAGCAAGTGCGTGTACGGGTCTGGACCCCGGTGTGACCACAGGGAGCTGAGCACTTGCTCCAGGGAGACCACGGGTTCCAGATGTGCTCTGTGTCTTGGTGCAGGGACCCTGAAAAATTGGATAGGCAGAAAGTTTGACCTCCCTCCCAAGGGAGCTCTGTCAGGAAATCTGCTCTGAGACTTTCATCTCTGGTCAGGAGAGACAGGGCCTCCATTTACATCATAGATGCCGTTGACGTTTGTATTTACTGCAATGATTTTTCCAACAGATGGAGGTCAAGAGCCTTAAGGGAGAGTGTCCCTAATTTGCACAAGGTGCCGCCTGGGCTGGGACGTCCCGGCAGGCTAGTTGGCCGAGCACCAGGACTTTGATATGCTGTCCTGGGATGCCCAGGGGTAGCTCCATCTTCCTCTCCACTGTGGAAACAGCTACATGGTGCTGCACAGGGGCTCCCTGGGAATCAGGGCCTGGGACCTGCAGTGACTCAGACACCACGGACCCCTTTCTCACCTCTGGTCTGGGACCCATCTATACAAATGGGGCCTCAAACCTTACCCCGGAGACCAGCCTGAGTTCCTGCTCAAGATGACGCCCACTGGCTCCTGGGGCTGTGGGGTCAGGCTGTGGATAGTGGACCCCCGTGGGCAGGCCTGGCCCACCCAACATCTGTGTTATCCCGTATTAGGTGTGGAGGGCGAGGGGCAGGGGGTGGGTAGAGAGCACGCACTCTGCAAACATAGACACGATTCAAACCTCAGCTCCGCTCTCAATAGGTGCGTAATCATGAGAGGTCACCTAACCTCTCTGGACCTCATGGAACTTGTCAAGATAGAGGTTTCTCCAAAGCCAGTCGTAAAGGTGAACGACACGGGTAGCCAGTACGGAATCTGGCATGCAGGAACAACACTGCACACTAAAGCTTAGTGAGCATTATCTGGGTTAAGCCCTCGACATTCATTATCTCATTTAATCCTCACAAAAACTCCTATGGGGAACCAGCAGTTAGCGTAATGGCTACGTCACTGGACTCCCATGTAGTCGACCATGGTTCACGTCCCGGACCCGGTGGCTTAAAACTCACGCCGGGCGTGTGTGCGTGCGTGCCCAAGATCCCAAGAGGAGAATGGAGGACAAGGGATTGAGGCGTGACCATCCCCTCTTGGGGGTGATTTCTCGCTTTCTGTCTCTATGTCTCTCTCTGTCTGTCTGGCGAGCGCATGCACCCTATAGCGAAAATGTCTCCAAAGAAAAAAATCCTATGCAGGCCAGCTAGTGGTATGGTGATTTGGGCAGCTGGATCCCACATGGTTGACTGTGTGGTTCCAGTCCTGGACCTAGCAGCTTGAAAAACACATTAGGCATGTGTGTGTGCATGCCCAAAATTCCGAAAGGAGAAATGAAGGAGAAGGGATTGCGTCACAGCCCTCCCCCATGAGAAGGTGCTTTTTCACTTCCCTTCTTCCGCCCTCTAGCAAGTGTACATGCCCTCTAACAAAAACAAAACAAAACAACCTATGAGGAAGAAATTTCACCCCTCTTTTACATGTGAGAAACCTGGGCTAAGAGCTTCCAAAAATTTATTTAAGGAACACAGTCCATACGGTATGCTCAGGATTCAAACCCAAGCAGCTTGACTCCAGAGTCCACGATACTCCCAGTGTACCGCTGAGATTCAATAAAATGGGCTGATGGGGCCAGCCCTATGGCCTAGTGGTTAAGAGAGTCCCATCCCACGTTGCTGACCACAGTTCAAATCCCAGCCCTGGCTACTTGAAAAACACACTAGGCACACATGTGTGCCCCAAATCCCAACAGGATAGATAGTGAAATAGAGGAGAAGGGACTGTGGCGTGACCACACCCCATTGGGGAGTGCTATCTCCCTCTCTGTCTCAAGGTCTCTCTATCTCTAGTTTCTGGCAAAACAAAACTATACCAAAAAACCTTGGTAGGAAGTACCCTTAAACACAGGCCAGAATGCCACGGGGAAGGTTGTGGCACTGGTGACAGGTCATTATCAGAGCCGAAGCATGCGTGCCATGTCCACGGCTCCTATGGCAAGTGGCAGGTCTTGGCCTTTTCTAGTGTGGCTGGTGGGAAGTGGCAGGAGGGGACCGTTGGGGCTCACCTGGTGGGCAGAGGAAACGCACAGTGTAATTGGAGCAGTTCTGGCCTGGCCTCTGCTCCCTGTTGCGGCACCAGAAGCCCTCGCTGGGACTGCCATGAACCACCTGGCCAGTGCTGCCCGCGGGCCACCAGTCAGTGGTCCGAGCCTCTAGCCGCAGGGGGCGGGCGCATACACGGTCACCATAGTAGAAGCGAATGGCGTCCAGCCGCTCATAGTCACCCTGTCCACCTGGGTGGTCAATGTTGAACCACGTCGTCCACTCGCCAGGACCTGAGTGACAGAGCCAGGCTGAGCGGGAGCCATGCCCTGGAGCCCAGGAGAGCTCCACCCCTCCTGTCCTGTTAAATCCCTAGGAGTCACCCCTACTATCTCTCACCTACTGGGTCACATTCACCTCTGCAGCAGCCCTGCAATCTTGTCTATACCCTACACTGCCGAGGCCTCCAATCAGAGCCTGGCTGGCCCATGTCAGTAACTGCTGCCTGGTCTCTCTTCCTCAATGCTGCCCTTCCACCCTATCCTACCCTCCCTGATGCTAAGGCCAGGGTGAGCTGTCTACTGAGGCTTGGACCACACCACTTCCCAGCTTAAAAAGCCCTCAGCCAGGCACTCAGGGTGCTGGTGAGCTGGCCCCTGCTCTCTCCAATCCTCATCCGCTCCTCCCTCCCCATGTGGCCCCAGGAAGCTCTATAGCAGGGATCCCTAACCCCTCCAGCCCCTCTTTAGAGCAATGTAATAATAATAATGCACTCTATAAATGTAATGTGCTTAAATCATTCCGAAGTCATTCCCCTGCTCCTGTCTATGGAAAAGTTGTCTTCCACTGAATCAGTCCCTGGTGCCAAAAAGGTAGGGAACCACTGCCTATGGCATTCCTAGGATATATCAGGCAGCTTCACGAGCCTCAGCCCTCCTGTATCCTCCGTTCCTCTGCATGGACTGGGGCGTAGGCCAAATGCCTTGTAAATGTAGGTTTCCGCGGAACCCTGACATCATGCCCTGGCTTCAAAGAGTCACCTAGCAAGCTCAGCAAAGACCTGCATTCCGCCCCCCACTCCCTCCTTCAGACACAACTCACTGTGCGGGGATTCAGCAGGGCTGGCAAAGTTCCTGGCGGTCCTCTTCCCAGGCTGGACTCTTCGCACTGACTGAGTGAGCATAGTCTGCCGCCCTGAGTGCCAGGAAAAGAAGCTAAGTGAGAGGCCAGGACTGACAGCTCTCGAGACCCAAGGAAGCAGGTGATGTGATGGACGGAGCATGAGGCACATCACTCTGCCACTTACTGCCATGCAAACACAGAACGTTTCATTCCTCTGAGCCCCCTTTGCCATAGGGATGCACCGGGGCCAGCAGATGGTGTAATGGTTACACCGCTGGACTCCCACGTAGTCAACCACAGTTCGAGTTCCGGACCTGGCAACTTAAAACTCATGCCAGGCACGTGTGCGTGTGTGCCCAACATCCTGAGAAGAGACCGGAGGAGAAGGGGTTGCAGTGTGACCATCCCCCCTGGAGAGTGATTTCTCACTTTCTGTCTCTCTGGAGAGTGTACGCACCCTATAGCAAAAATCTCTTTTAAAAAAAGTAGGGATGCATTAATCATCACTACTATCTCAAAGGGTCTTGGTGCATTCCTCAGGATGGCAATGAATACAGAGCGGCCTGGCATTTACCACATGCTCAGTGAATGGCCATTCTCTTCTCACTTGTTCTGGAAATGGATCATCAGGTGCTGCTGAGTGGGTTGGGGCTCCTGCTTTGGCATCTGGACCTGTCCTTCTTGGCAAAATGGAGCCTTATTTTTCTCAACAGTAAAATGAAGATATCGGTTCCCGCTTCACAAGTGGTTCAGTTGGTGTGAGGATTCCACAAGGTAAGACGTGAACTCTCTGAAGTACATGAAGATGGGAGCATGAGCTCGGGAGGCTCTGCCAGGTCCTCACTGTGTGACCTTGAGCAAGCTGCTTAGCCCATCTGACTCCATGTTCTCTCCTCGTGAATTGGGGATAATAATAGTCCCTGCCTTAGAGGATTGTGGGGATTAAATGAGCTCATTCATAAAATCCACTTAGGCCTACCCCATTGCACAACAGTTAAGTGGCATGCATGGATAGCCAGATCCCACACGGCCAACCAGGGTTTGAGTACCAACCCCAGCAGCTCCAAAAACATACTGTGGAGCCAGTAGGTGGCATGACAGTTAAGGCGTTGTATCCCACTTGGCCAAATCTGTGGTTCGAGTCTCAAACCTGGCGGCCTGAAAAACATGCTGAACATGCATATGCTTGCCCAAATCCCAAGAAGAGAATGGAGGAGAAGGGATTGCAGCGTGATTTTTCACTTTCTCTCTCTCTCTCTTGTCTCTCTCCAGCAGGCGCATGTGCCCTATGGTTTAAACAAACAAACAAACAAAATACCAACTATCTGCATGCCTAGTATCCTGACAGAACGGAGAAGCAGAGGAAGAGGGAATTGTGCTGTGGCTATGCCCCATTAGGGGGTGTTTTCTCTTTCTCTGGCAGACTCATGCACCATCTAGCAAGTATAAATAAATTTATAGGAAAAGTAGAACCCCCTCAGGACAATACCTCACACATGATGTATCTGCAACTCTTTTTGCCCAATGCCTGGTGCAATAGGTGTCCACTTCTCTTGTGGCGGGGGGGCGGGAGCGGAGTTTGGCTTTGGGAATCCTCCCCCCCAACACACACCTATGAAAGACTCTCTGGGCAGTGGTCCTCAACTTTCTGGCCCCGGGCTGGTGAGGTCTGCCAGAGCATGGTACAGGGTCCCCAGTCCTGAGGCTGGGCTGGGGGCTCCAGAATGGGAAGGAGAAAGGAGAGATGAAGGCTGCAAAGGCTTTGAAAGGCAATTAACTCTCACTGGAGGAGCCAAATCAGAATTCCCTCTGCTGCTTAATTGGGGTGATAGAAGCTCTTTTAATCAACCTAATCTGATTTCCCCTCAGATGGTTGAATGTTAATCATCTTCACAAACAGCAGCTGTCAGGGTGGAAAGAGCGAGGCGGGAGGCGGCACACACCGGCTGGCACTCCTGAGACAGCCTTTGTCCCAGCACCTGTGGTCACAGAGCCTGCAGGGCATGCAGCTCAAACAGGGTTCTGGGCATTTTTTTCTTAGCTGGAGTATGTGGTCAGAAGTCAGGAGAGGAAGGGGAGGTGGGAGAGAGCGTGTAGGGTAGTGCAGGGAGCTCTATGCATGATGCTTCCAGAAGTCGGCAGTTCCACCAGCAAATTCTCTCCACCAGCTCTCTCCAGAGTCAGCGTCACTGGAGGACAGGTCAGACGGCAAGGAGACCTGAAGGGTTCTGGTGCGTCTGTGAAATGGACTGCAGGGTCTAAATGAAATTGATATATAGGCCAGAAGTATTTTCATGAAACTAAAAAGGGACCTAACCCCAAACCTGATTCTGAAAACTCAGTGCTGCCCTGTGATCCCCTTTTGCTTTGGTTGCCAGGAAGCTCAGAGCTAAATTTAGTACTCAGGGGAAAGTAACCCTCTAATGCGTTCTCCTTCCTCTGAATGATGGCTCATCGCTCTCATTTAAAAGGTTCTATTCTGTGAAGTTTTTTTTTTTTCTTTTTTTTTTTTTTTGGAGAGGTTTTCACTATAGGGCACGTACACTCACCAGAAAGACAGAGACAGAGAGACAGAAAGCGATAAATCACCCCCCAGGGGGGCTGGCCATGCCGCAATCCCTTCTCCATTCTCCCCTCGGGATCTTGGGCATGCACGCACATGCGCCCGGCGTGAGTTTAAGCCACCGGGTCCGGGACTCGAACCGCAGTCGACTACATGGGAGTCTAGCGACATAGCCATGATGCTAACTGCTGGTCCCTATTCTGTGAAGTTTTAATATTGAGAACTATCTCTGATTTTACAGGGAAACAAGCAGATTATACATTAGAAATAATTCTGTAAAACAGTCTTAAGGCCATTACCGTTTCTCAAGGCAGATTTACATCTGGGTCCCAGACCAGAAGTGACCTCACTATAGCAAATAGAAAATTTGGGGGCTCAAATGTACTTAGCCTGTACCCAACACAGATGTGATTTCCAGGACCAGGAAGAACATCCAAGCCTTGATCTCCATCATCTTTCCCCAGGCCTCGTAGGAAAGTAGCAGGAGTTGGGTTAGAGTGCTTCACAGACCCTGCTTGTCTCAGGAATGCAGTCCCCTGGGCAGTTTTTCTGATCCAGTAACCTGCAAAGAAGCAAGGCTCATCAGGTTCCACATTTCTGAGTCATCTCTATGGCTCAGGCAGAAATAGTTATTTTTTTTTTTTGGAGAGATTTTCACTGTAGGGCGCGTGCGCTCGCCAGACAGACAGAGAGAGACATAGAGACAGAAAGCGAGAAATCACCCCCCAGGGGGGATGGTCACGCCGCAATCCCTTCTCCTCCATTCTCCTCTCAGGATCTTGGGCACGCACGCACTCGCGTCCGGTGTGAGTTTTAAGCCACCGGGTCCGGGACACGAACCGCGGTCGACTATGTGGGAGTCCAGCGACATAGCCATTACGCTAACTGCTGGTTCCCTCCTGGCAGAATAGTTCTTGACCGGGACCAGTAGTTGATGTAATGGCTATGTCACATGTAGTTCACCGCAGTTCAAGTCCTGGACCCGGTGGCTTAAACTCACACCGGGGGTGTGTGTGGATGTGCCCAAGATCCCAAGAGGAGAATGGAGGAGAAGGGATTGCGGCGTGACCATCCCCCCTGGGGGGTGATTTCTCGCTTTCTGTCTCTATGTCTCTCTCTGTCTGTCTGGCGAGCGCACGCGCCCTACAGTGAAAATCTCTCCAAAAAAAAAAAAAGAAAAAGAAAAAGAAATAGTTATTGACCTGTCAAGGATGGAAGGGTGGATAGAATGAAGTCTTGTGGGAATGACATCTGCCCAAATTGCGAAACCAAGCCGCTTGGGAGGTACGGAGGCCCAGAATCTGAGTTCAGATGAGGCAGACCCTGGGTTCAGGCTCCAGGGTCCCACATGGAGATGGGCGCAGGGAGAACAGAGGTGTGGAGGTTACTTGCCAGTGAGGAGGGGCTGAGGCTCACTCCTAGCAGCTTCTGGGGCACTCATTAATCACTTCTAAGACTGGGGTTTGGGCGGCATTTGTTTTACTGCCCTTTGGTGGGGTTCACACTCTTACATAAGGGCTGCATATGAAGGCCATGCAGCAGCCCTGGCCTGACTGCGGTGGCCTCTTGTAAGGCAGGCGGGTGGGAGGGTGTGGGTCCCTCCGACACGCCACCTCTGTGAACACTTTCCCAGATGTGCATGGCTGGATCTGGATCACATTTCTAGTCTGCTTATTTGGGGCCTGGCTGGGAGTTCATTCAGCCAGGAGCCAGCTGAGGGACAGCAGAGGGGATGCACCGTGAGTGCGTTCTGGCCAGGGCTCCCCAATAACTACTGAGTTGGGGGCTGCAGGGTGGGGAGAAGAACGCGGACCTGGCATAAGGACTGGGAACCATGGGGCATGTGTGGCCCCAGCTCTAGGTCAACAGCACGATTTTTATCTCTTCCCCTGAGTTCTGGTCAACCCAGAATCTAACTAGTTTCTGTAGATTCAAAAATACTTCCCTTCGACCTCCAAAGCCCAGGGTGTGGTAGGAAAAGGAAGATTCCTCCTCTCTGGAAAAAAGGTCCAAGAACACTTGGTTGTCCGTGGGGAAGAACAAGCCAGTCCTACATTGCAGACCACCTCGCTGTAAAGCCCTTAACCCGCTCGCTGATGAGGGAGCAGAATCACAAGGCGGTCCCAAAGGTCCCCAGCTATTGTGTCTTACCTCAAGCTCCGAGCTCTGAGCATGGAGTCGAGCGGTCCCGGCCGGTACTACATTTGGCCTGAGCCTGCTCCGGGGCTGTCTGAGCGGCAAGGTGGCCCGAGGCTCCTTGTGGAAAAGCCATTTCCCATCTGGCAGCCCCGCGGAGGTTTCTTAGCACCCCTGCCGTTTCCTCGGCATATGCCCTGGTGGCCAGTGCCCATCCCACACTCCTCAGAACTCTCGGACAAGGCAGACCGGCGGACCGCAGGTAAAAAGTGGGACACCCAGAGGTAGAGACCCTAAGTAGGACCTGGGGGTTCCTGACCTCAGGTGGGGAAAGGAGAGGACTTTAGGCCAATCGGGAAAGGCGAGAACTTCAGAGCAGAAAGGGGAGATGAGAGGAGAAGAAGGTGGTGGGGCAGGCAGGAGCAGCTGAGACGGCAGTGGGGTGCAGGGTGGGGGAGGAGTGGGCTCACCATGTCCTGAGCAGGGCTCCTCCTCAGCTGGGGGCCCAAGCCTTCTGCTCCCCAGCAGCCCAGCACCGGCCTTTTATAACACAGCTGGTGGCTCAGCCTGTGGCAGCCAGCCACGAAGCAGCCGCAGGGAAACCAGATCGGAGCACAACCTCCCCCGCCCCTCCCCACGCTCCCCACAACCCACAGAGGCTGGATTTGATGTCTAGATCTTTAGGGGAGATGCTGCAGAGCCGAGGGGTGGGCCAGGTGGGCAGCTCTTCCCCGGGGGTCTGCATGCAGAGGTGGGGCTGGGTGCTGAGAGCAGCCCTGGAAGGGGCCCAGGGGAATTCTGCACCTTGGCAGCTGTTCATGGCTCAGAGGACGGTGGCTCTTGCCTGAGTTCTGCTCGCAGATCCCTGCATTGCGGCGCCCCCGCCGTGGGCCCCCCACCCACGAACCAGCCGCAGGGAAACCAGATCGGAGCACAACCTCCCCCGCCCCTCCCCACGCTCCCCACAACCCACAGAGGCTGGATTTGATGTCTAGATCTTTAGGGGAGATGCTGCAGAGCCGAGGGGTGGGCCAGGTGGGCAGCTCTTCCCCGGGGGTCTGCATGCAGAGGTGGGGCTGGGTGCTGAGAGCAGCCCTGGAAGGGGCCCAGGGGAATTCTGCACCTTGGCAGCTGTTCATGGCTCAGAGGACGGTGGCTCTTGCCTGAGTTCTGCTCGCAGATCCCTGCATTCCACTGGCCCTGGCCTGCCCAGAGGGAAAAGGCCCTCTCTGGTCTTAGCACATACTCCAGACTCAGGCGCACTGCCACCTGGGCCCCGTGGAGCATGCCTGCTCTAAGCTGGGCAGCTACTCAGTTTCGCTGGCCACTGAGGGAGCACCCGGGAACCTCAGAAGAGACGAGGGACAGAGGAAGCATGGAGCACAGAATGTCACCTGGTGTGAACAGCTCTTCCTTGTGCGTATGTGTGAGTATGCATGTGACTTCAGGTGACATGCGCACATGTGTGTATGTCTGACTTCAGGTGGCATACATACATGTGTGAGTACGTGTCTGACTTCAGGTACCACGCATGCTTGCATGTGAGTACGCATCTAACTTCAGGTGGCATTCATGTGTGAGTATGTGTCTGACTTCAGGTGGCATGCATGTGTGTGTGCGAGTCCACGTCTGACTTCAGTTGGCTTATGTGTGTGCGTGTGAGTACATGTCTGACTTCAGTTGTGGGTAATCACAGCTTCTGAATGGCCAGCCTTACCTGTCAGTGGAGTAGACAGCTGTCTTACCCTCTCCATCTCCCGCTCCTGTCTCTTGCTCTCCTTCTCCAGCTTCAGTGGCCATTGTCCTCTGGCCTCGCTCCCAGTCACCTGCCACCCTGCCCCACCCCAGCCTGAGGCAGGGTGTTGGCACAGGCAGTGGTGCTCTAATTTTAGCATGCATTCGGATCACCTGGAAGGCTGTTAAAACGCAGACTTCTGGACTCCACACCCAGTTTCTGACTCACCCGGGCCCAGGACTTCGCAGTTCTAACAGCCTCCAGATGCTATTGATGCTGCTGGCGGACAGACCACACTTTGAGATTTACTGGTCCCTGGGATAGAGCCCTAGTTGGAGGCAGAAGATGAGAGAGTGGACTAGGGACCACGGCAGGAGCTCCCAGGGTCCTGCCTCATGTCACAAGCTCATCCAGTCTGGGCTGGGCTTCCTGTCTCATGCAAGCTCCTGCCCCCTGGCTGCCCCACCAGGCCCGCCCATGTCCCCTCACTGAGGTCTTACACTCGGCACTGGGAAGCCACAGAGAAAAGAGACATGTCCTTGCACTTAGAGGAAAGAGTCACATGGAAGTGATTCCATAGCATAGTCCCTCATGCCAGAGAGTTGAATGTGTGTATGTGTGTGTGTGTGCATGAATACACATGTGCATGCCCATGTGCCTGTGCCTTTCAGTGTGTATGTACTTTGCTATGTGCTGTGTATGTCTGTGCCCTTCCGTGTTTGTGTGTGTGTGTGTGTGTGTGTAAGCAGGAGCTGAGGAGTACCGTTCTCTGAGTGCTGTCCTGGACAGGAACTGTTGGGGGAGAGAGTGAGGGTGCAGAAAAGACACTGAGCAAAGGCAACCCTAAGCAGAAATGGGGCACGGGTCTTGCTTCCTCTCCTGGAGCACTTGGCCCATCGGCCCATAGCTGGCCTCAGTCTGGCCCAGCTGGTCAGAGCCAAGCCACAAAGCAGCTTCCGCCATGGCTTTGCAGGCAGATACCTGAGCTGAGTGAAGCCATGTGAACTCTGCCTATCTGAGGAATGGATGGACAGAAGCTGAGCCACAAGAGCCCATCAAAGGAAAGGAGAAAAATAGCCACTGAGAGTCAGAAGCCTAGTCCTGGCTCTTTCGCTGATTCTGATGGGTGAGCTGGGATGAGCAACAACCCCCGTGACCCTGGGCCTCAGCATCCCCACCTGTGCGATAGGGATTTGGACTGAGTGAGCTCCCAGGCCCCTGCACTCTGGGATTGCAATGTCTGAGATATACTCACAGCAAACAGAGCAGGGAGGAGAGAAGGGGGAATGACAGCGCCAAGGAGTCTGGCCAGGGGTCAGGAGGGAGGCCAGAGATGCAGTGTGACCACCGAAGCTGGATAAGGAGAGCAAGAGAGACAGGAGAGGAAGGTGAAGGATGCTAAACCAGAGGGCCAGAGGACAAGCTCAGGGTAATCAGCCCTCTCCAAGGCCTTCATTCCATGGAACCCCAGGGTGTGCCAAAGAGGCCACTCAGCCTCCCAGCTGCCTCCCCTTCTCTCTGTAGGGGCAGGCAGGGTACTCAGTGGGGTGAGGATTTGGCAAAGCGAAGGCCTTTCCAGCCCTGGGCTCCTTGCTCAGCTTGGCACTCATTCTGAGGCACCCTTCCCTAGTCGCAAGTGACCAGTGGGTACCCTCATTGTTGGTTCCGAGTAGAGGGGCTGCGAGGTAGAACCCCTGGGATCTAGCTCAGCCCCTCTAGCTCACGTTCTGCCCCCTCCTGCATTGCCAACAGAGTCGTTCCTGTCCCCCAGGAGGACTGAGCTATGAGTGCACAGGGCTAGATTGCAGGAATGAGAACTCACCCTGACTCTCTCCTCCAGGACTCCTTTGAGGGAGAGGCTGCCTGTCTCTTCAGCCAGGACACTAGGACAGAGAGGGCTTGGGAGGCAGCCATAGGGCTGAACTGTCCAGGGCCTGGCCCAGATGGGTCCGCCGCAGCCATGAGCAGCCATCTGGGGCTCCTGCAGGCCAGGCTCGTCTGCAGCAGCTCCAAGACCCTGCCTGGAACATGCAGGGAACCCATCAATCACCTCCACCTCTGCCCCGTTTAGCCAGGCCACCTGTGATCCAAGCCCACAGCCAGGGCGCCCCACCCTGGGGCAGAGGGGAGCAGAGTTTGGGAGCACTGGCAGGGGTCTGACCTGCTCCTGCTAGCCCAGAAGAGGGTGCTTGGTCTCTAACACTCTGTGACCACTACCTCCTCCCATTGTGGCCCTCTGCCCTGTGGCCCCAGGAGGCTTTGCAGTCCTGGGAGTGTAAGCAGCTGATGACCCCTGGGGACTGGAAGCCTTGGCTGTAGCTCTGAGTGACCATCAGGGCTGCTGGCCTGCTATTTGGGAGCCCAGAGGGTAATGGGGAGCCCTTACCTTCTGACTATGCTGTTTTTCTCCCTGTCCTGGGTTCAGCCTATTTTTGTTCTACCTCTGTGTCTTTAAAATTGTTCCTCAGTTTCCCTCCTTGAAATACAGCCATTCCTCCCAGCCACTGAATTGTCTCCATCCTTCAAATCTTGTCTCAATCTTCTCCCACCTGCCCTGTCTGATACCCAGGCCTATCTTAGTTATTCCTTCCTCAAATCTCAGATGACAATATGCAGTCACATGCAGATGGCACTCTGTGATTTACAAAGCACATTCATGGTCATCAGCTCACCTTCAGTCTCACAGCTGACCCACAAGGCAGTGGTAATCACATGCATTTCATGGAGGAAGAATTGAGGTTCAGAGAGGTGAAGTCACTAAGGTGCAGTAGGTCTTCACAAGAAGGCTCGTGTAGACCTTGCTGTGGGGCCCTCAACTCAGAGAAGCCACCATGGAAGTCACATCTCAGCTGTCTGCTCCTTAGTGAGAATATTCCTAGGACTGTCCGGTCTACCTGCTGGGTACATATACCTGCTTCCTACATATATACTAGTTCCAGAGATGTTCCCATCTAACACGATACAGCTCTCCATCCACTTGGGCATTAAAGAAGGCCAGGGATTCTGAGACCAGCAGTTAGTGTATAGCGTAATGGCTATGTTGCTGGACTCCCATGTGGTCAACCATGATTCAAGTCCCGGACCTGGTGACTTAAGACTCACGCCAGGAGTGTGTGTGCGTGCGTGCCCAAGATCCCAAGAGGAGAATGCAGGAGAAGGGATTGCGGAGTGGCCATCCCCCTGGGGGGTGATTTCTTGCTTTCTATCTCTTTGTCTCTCTCTGTCTGTCTGGCGAGTGCGCACACCCTATAGCAAATAAACAAAAAAGAAGGCCAGAGATTCTTTGCAACTCTTCCATTATGAGGCAGAGCCTATACACTTGTTTGATCTGGGCTCGCTTTGTGACTTGCTTTGAACAAAGGAATATGACAGAAGTGTTGCTGTACAAGTTCTGGCATTTAGGCTTCCAGAGTTCACTCCCTTGGAACACTGCCTACCATACAGGGGAGCTGACCTGTTCTACTGGCGCCTGAGAGACCACATGGGTAAGAGCTGAGGTCCCGGGGTCAGCTGGTGGCATGGTGGTTAAGGCAGGTAGATACCACATGGCCAACTAAGCAGTTAGAGTCCTGGATCTGGTGGCTTAAAAACATGGTGTGTGTGTGTGTTTGTGTGTGCGCTCCCTAAAAACGCAAAAGAAGGGAGAAATGGAGAAGAAAGGAGAAGGGACTATGGCATGACCATACACCATGGAGAGGGGACAGCTTTCTCACTTTCCCTCTCTCTCTTTCTCTTAGTCTCCCTCTGGCAAGTATATACATCCTCTGTTAAATTACAGGAGAAAAAGAAGAACTGAGACTCCCCCAGCC